ATCTTCCTCTGCTGGATGGCGAGATCCCTACCAGACCATCACGTTGTCTGGCGGGAATTTCTTCGCAAGGTCCAAGCCGGGACAAGCTCTAAGCTCCGACTGTCTCCCCATAAGTGATATTGTAGTGCATGCAGGCGTGTGTGTAAGTAAGGAGTGAGGACAAGAAAGAGGAAGAAAATGTCCAGCACGGTCCGTGGCCCGTTTTATTAGGGAACTGCTCCGGCATTTCGCGGGCGTTGATCGAAAAAACCACGCAGAATTGTCTGCCAGACAGGGCCGCTAGAAATCTCCTCCATACAGCCGCTGAATTCGACCTGGCTGCGAAGCTGGAGTCGAAAATATTGCTACCATCGGGAGTGGAGAAATCCCCAAAAATGACGGTTGCAGTCTTCAATGAATAGTCACAAAAGATAATTATATTTTAGAAATATAAAGAAATGGTGATTATGAATGCTATGCAATGGCATAATATGTTGCATTCCATGATATTACGCATCCCACCCCTTACTTACACACTTACATGCACTACACTACCACACATGAGGAGACCAGTTGGGAGCTTATAACTTCTCCTGGCTGGGCGATGCCAAGCTGGTGGGAGATACCTGGTTGGGGAAATCCCCACTAGCCTACGTGTAGGTCGCCGACGAATATTTCCATACAGCGGGAAAGATCACTGCCGCATCTCCAGCAAAATACATGAGCTACACTTGCGGGAGTAATGCCCTTAGCTGTTGACGCGCCGAAATAATCAAACCGGCAAAGGTGACTAAGGGCAACAACTGATGTCAAGTGCCTGTCAACTAAAATACAGGGCCTTAGACAGGGAGATGATGGAGTTTGAGTGCCGACGGTAGAAGGGTTCTCGACTTGCTTGTTAGCTAGGGCTAGTTCAGCCGCTTATTGAAGAATTCTAATGGCTGGGTAATCAATAGTTTTCTCCGATCAACACCAGACGAATGCTGGAGCATTGCCCTAACAAATGCGTCAGGGACCGCGCGCGATCTTTCCTTCCTCTTCCTTGTTCTGTCTTTACCCTTTTCTTACAGACACTTATATGCACTACACTACCACACAAGTCGTGAGCTGACAGCCCGGCTGGGACTGTGCCCCGCTGGTGGGAGTTAGTTGCCTGCTTGGCTAAAATCTCTGCAATCGAACGTAGTTCGGCGCCAGATTTCGCCAGCCAGCGTGGGAAGATCACTGTCACCTCCCGCGATAAGACTAGCATTAAACTTATGGAAGTAATTGCCTTAGCAGTTGGCCCGCCCGCAATCGCTAATCGGCCAACGAAATATTCAAAGACACTCGTTCTCTCACTCCATGTTCATGATCGTTACTTGATCGTCTCTCGTTACATCTTAATGATAACAGACCCAGTAAAGAATTTTTGAAATTTGAAAATCACGAAGATAAAGAAATGTGTTTCTATTTTACAGAAGGTGGAAATTAGAGAAAAAAATTGAGAAAATAGAGAAATGTACCGATAAATTTAAAAATAATCAAAAGCCGTCGATAACGCATTTAATTAATTCAACATTTGTTGTATAATGGATTCAAAAGTACTCTCTTCTATATATTCGTGTGTTTCCTACACTGCTAAATGTAAAATATTAGTACTTGATGAAATGATAAGTGAAGTATCACATTTGTTGAAATGTCTCTTAGTTTCGTACTTTTATTTCCAACCAAAACAAATTATTTGAAATGAAACTTTTTTCAGTCAGACATTTCTTGTTTCAGTTTTGTCAACCAAACTACTTGCGAAGAAACATGTATGCCACCATCCTGTGACGGTGAATGAAGATTGTTTTTGAGTCAAAAACAAAACAAAATACTTAGTATTTGCACTTCATGAATATTCTTTATTGTTTTAAAGAAACATAACATGCAATATTATATCCAAACAATATCAGTGGTTCCTTTCATTTTGAGTTAAAAATACAATTATTTCAAATGAATTCAGTCATTTTCATGTTCTGTAACTACCTAATTACCTACGTATTTCAATCGGCATTTGGACATTTGTCTCACAACCCACATTTCTTCGCACTTTTGCGTTCTTCGGGCTTATCATCCGTTCCACGCTAGCCGGCGTGAGTATTCTCCACTACCGCCGTCGTCGGACGAAAATACGATAGTTCCCTAGTGGCTGGGAAACCAATTATGTTTCTCACTATCGACTTTGCAGTTGTTTTCAAAGAGTGTACATCATACTTGTCAGTGGTTATTGTCCTTCCGCAGACGTACGGGACTTGCATAGACTCTTGTGGGAGATCGGGTTGTATGTCGCCTGGCGTGCTTCTTTTGTGTTATTGTGAAATAAATTTGTCGCATGTGAATTATTATTTGTAATCGTACTTTCACAATAGTCAGAACATTTTATGTGCTAGTAAAATATTTTGAGTGAAGGTAAAATGATACACTCTGTATACTTGTCGTCTTTGAATAACCTACTGCTTACGAGAAAATGTTTGCTCGTAAACATATTATAGTTTCTAAAATATACTCCCTCATTTGCCTTAAAAATTATGAATTTTTAAATCTGTCACTTCTTGCTATCACGCTACGGGGTAGAGAGAACGTTATATAAGACTGCGAAAACACGATGAATTTTCGACTGAAAAACTCTTATTACAGGGCCCTGGTAACGAAAAAGTGCATAAATTCAGTTGCTAATGTAAGAAAAAACTCTAAATCGTGGTGTAGCCAGAAATCCTGTTTTGTGGGTCCTTGAGACCTAACTCGAAGGACGACAAAACGTCTGTCAGTCCACTCGCCTCCTGTATCCGTCCATGAACAACGCTAGGGCCTGAACTGTTCAGCCGATTTTTTCCAAAATTGATAATCCCCTATCGATCTGGCTGATGTTGCAGTCCCTTCAATGTAAAACCGACAATTTAATTTTTTTTGGGGGGGAGTACTTTACGTTGCCTGTTCACATGACTACTTTTCTCACATTCATTTGAAATTTCATAGCCGTAGTTTTAACTTCATCTGGATTGTTTTTGAACAAAATATACCAATTTTATTCCAAATTACATTTACGTTGATTTTTACTCTACTGCATTGCTGGTAAGTGTGGTAAAGTTGATACAAACATTTCGGAAACGCCTTGATATCATGGAATTTCCATATTCCGTTGGCAAGATAAGGTGTGAAGCCACAATTCTTGGTGATGAGTGAAGACCACAGAAAGTGCATAAACAAGATAAAATACTTCCTTGTGCAACCCATTAGTTTGATTATATTTACTTTATGTGTCCTCGTCTTCTATGCCTATCTTCAGTGCATTTTTAACTTGGTGTCGAGATCATACACCAGCATGCTAGTTTGTTTTTAAATGTAGTTTGATTTTGGTTGCGTAGGCTTCCGCGGCCGGAGGTTATGTTGGCAGGGCTATCCGGGACGAGCCGCGTCAATGTCATGGTGGCTAACGTTTCGGCCAGCGTATTGTGGCCTTCTTCAGAGCGTACTGCTGAAGCCAGCATGACACATTAGCCACCATGACATTGACGCGGCTCGTCCCGGATAGCCCAGCCAATGTATTTTGATTTTACTAATCATTTATGGTGAATATTATCTGTTAATTCACTATTGTCTAGATAACCTTTTTATGTATAATGATCTTAAAACACAAACCGATTATACTTATCGCTTCCTAAAGAGCATTCATGAACATTACAGCATTCCAGGATCCTTGATTAATTCTTTAATATTACAAAAATTTCAGCTATTCTTCAATTTATATCGAAGTTATACATCAAATATTGTGATGTTCCTGAATTTTTTGACAAACTAGTTGGGAGGAAATGCCACACCTTAGGGGTATTTCTCTGTTTCAGTATTTTAAAAACACTTTCATCATATATTGAAATCATTTTTACACAATTATTAAACCAGTAAATTCATTCTTAGTTTAATTATTGAATACATTCGAGAATCATGTTTGTCAATGTGAAAATATTTTGTAGTTTTAGGAAATTAAGAAATATTAATATAAGATCTATCCAAACATCATTGAGAGACTTCTGTGTAATATATTTTCTAACATTTTGAACTCAAAATAAAGATCCCTCCATATTGAAAATATCCTGCTCATATTAACAAAGCATTCCGAACAAGCAGATCATTTATTGAACAGAAAAATGAGCATTGGGGGTTGCCCACAGATGAAAATTAAAATTTAAAGCACTTTTTGATGTACGTCCCACAAAATGTTGAATAGGAATTTACGCACGTATTGCAATTAATTCATTCCTTTTATAATACTATAACGCAAAAAACAATTTAACCAAAACATGCATTAACTTGAAAACTATTCCTGATAATATATACATTTCATATTTTAATTCATATTGGCTTACTACATTAGAAACTCAAGAGTAAACAGAATTCACAGTGATTACATAATTCATAAGTTACATAATATAGTTACGAAATTCGTAATGATTATGTAAATGAAATTCGTTTTCAAAAAGATGGTCGTGTTGTTTCTGTTGTCGAAGAGTCAATTATATGTTCAAAGTATTGGCACAAGCCGATACGTTTATTAATTCGTTATCAGTCTCAGCACCGAAAAGATTTTCAGGGAAACTATTTAACTAATATATTCCCTCTTCTTCAGGGTAGAGTCGTATGCTACATGAATTAAAAAAATTGTTAATGATTGTTTGTGTCATTTTATTAGTTTTGTTGTAGGATTTCTTAAATCTTTGATCTGTAAAGAGAAGTTTGTAAATACTCTTGGTACGTGCAGACAAAAGCGTATTAATAATGTTGTTTTAATTTCATAAAAGCATCAAATCACTGTTTTGAAATTCTACATATGTTGGAATGTTTGAGAAGTGATTGAGGTACTTGTGAATACACTCTTGTGAAAACTTGTAAAAACATCGTGAATACACACAATGTTTTAAATGGGTGTGGAGAGTGGCTAGCGGATGTGGAGAATGTGGAAGTGCGGAAGGACAGATGTGGTTTTTCACGCCTTTGACCTTGTGCGTTCCCCTTCCACACGGCTCTTATAAAAGCCTTGTTCGTATAAATCAGTAACGCATTGTCGACTCAACTCTAGTACTCAAAGCCACAATGCAGTTTACAATTCCTGTTGTCCTACTCCTACTGGGTAAGGTTATTTATTATTATTATTATTATTATTATTAATATTATTATTATTATTATTATTAACAAAAACAATATTGCCGATATTTTATTTTATAAAATTTATTAAATTTTAAGTGGCAGAATCAACATCGAATTTGGTCGTATTTAAAAAGAGTCGTGGTAACAACTTATGTTGACAGTCATGCTTATAACGTTTATAAAGAAATTGCGCTCGTATTCTTTTTTCTCATTGTGAAATAATAATAATGTAGTTTTTATCATTTTGAGATTTCTATGTGACATGAATCATTAAAAAGTCTCTGTACTTGTCTATGGCGTTTAAATATTTTCGTGTTAGCTTACACAGCTAAGCAAATGTAAAAAAATGTCAATAGGAAGACTCTTATACAGAATGGATTACCAAAGTTGCACACAGCAAATATCTTTGAAACTGTTTCAGGTATCGGGAAGCGTTTTGGGACAGGTTTCAATTGATGGGGGAAATAACATATTTTATATTCTAGTTTGTAACATATGTTTGAGATACCGACACAATTTTGCTTTTTCTGTGCCCATTATAAAGTACTCGGGGAGACGAATACAGTAACATAAGTATAATTAATATTCGAAAAAATAACTGCTGAAATAGTTGAGTGCAACATTTCCTAAGAAGTCACATTTTCAGCAAGGTTGAAAGGAAGACGAAAAGAGTCTGTCCTTCGCTGGCGCTCCGCTCTCTGAATATAAATCGAAACTCAAACGTCGGGTTTTCAATGTAACTGTACTTATTTGCATTGCTTTCTTGCATTTATCCCCTAATTATATTTGCGTCTGTTTATGTATTGCCTTTAAGCATAAAAAATTAACGCTGTATTAAGAAAATAAAATGTGGGTTTATGTTCCACAACATTTGTAAATCGTGTGTTGGACAATCAATTAAAAACAGAAAGCAAGTAAACAAATTTGACTCTTTATTTGGACTCACTTGTATGTAATAGAATTCAAAAGTGGTTTTTATATCATTTAAATATTATGTTGTCACATTCTTAGGTTTCTCTCTCTTAAATAATTCATCATTTTATTTTTACTGAAATCACTCTCCAGTATCAATGTCATTGAGATTAGCAATGGGCGTTTTTGTACTCTTGCTATTCCATATAAAATCTACCATCGTCGTGATAAATGTGTAACTTTAAATTAATTTTAGATGGTTAAATGATATTAATCATTATAGCCACTTGCGTGGTGTCGGCAGGATCCACATTGAATGAGAAAATATATTCCATTATGGAACAAACAAATTTTACTCCCTTGCTTGCCGAAGAATTTGTTTCTTTTGCATTCATGAACGTGAACATGTAGGTGGTGCAAGTGAGGAATACAAATAAGCATAGTTACATTGAAAACTCGAAGTTTCTATTTCCATTTCTATTTAGAGGGCATAGTGTTAGAGGACATGCTCGTTTCATCTTCCGGAAAAGCGTTGCGGACAGGTACGGAAAACGTGGCTTTTGAGGAAATGTTGAAAACACTTTTTCTACACTTTTTCCGAATATCAACAATGCTTGTACCACTGTATTTATCTTTTGAAACACTCGTACTTTAAAATGGTGACAGAAAAATATATACGTACTTCCATTTAAAAATCAAAGTTGTGACAATATCTTGAAAATACAAAAACAGTGCACACTATAAAACGAAATATATAATTTCCCTTATCATCTACAACTTCGTGCAAACCGCTTCACGATACGTTTTAAAAGTATTCATTGTGTTCAACTTAGGTAGTCCATCTGTGTACTATAACTACCTAACATACTCCAATATGAGTAAAGTCAATCAAATAAGTTTAATTTTGAATTAAAATCGACTTGTATTAAAAATGCCAACGTGAAATTCATCTTTATTACTGCTATTCGTAGTCTCATATACATTTTTACTAAGGTAGACGCGTTGGAAAAAGTGGATTTCACCTTCCAAATAATACCATATATTCTCCCCCAGCTGTTTTAGTGTCAGTTGATTCCCAGTGTCGCCCGAAGGAGTGTTTAATTCCCGGAGAAACGGGGCCCTGTCGAGCAAGCATGAAGCGTTATGCCTACAAAGTCTCTTCAGGCCGATGTGAAGTATTTGTCTTTGGTGGCTGCAGAAAACAATTTAACAAGTAGGTTTAAATTCTTCTAGTAAAACAATATTATCCAAATTATATATTCCATAATATTACATTTCAAAATATAGAATAACGAAAATTAGTTTCCCCCATGTCACGTAGGTTTCACCCGCATCTCGCACAATCGTCATATGCTCGAAAGTATTGCATTTTCAAGATATTTGTTTCCATAATATTTAAAAATAGATTAAATGTACATGTAAATTTAAAAAAAAATATTTCTTCTTTCTCGACATTTCTGCCTTTCAAGGGTGTTGATGTAAGATTTCTGTAACATTATAGGGTGAACAATCCCCAGGTCTAAGTTTTAATACACTTCTGGTATTGATTTGTTAATTTGACACGAAAAATGATCTTATCAAGCAATAGTTAGTATTGTTATGTTTGTAGTGTATGTGACAGATATTATGCGCATACGTTTGGTCCACATTATCCTCTGAAACACAGGAGTGGTTGCTCCCAAATATTGTACAAATTCTTTATAGCAACAGAGAAAAAGCAATTGGGAGTTTTGCGACCAGGGGATGTAACCTCAAATTACTACGTGAAACCCTTGAAGTGGGGCATTAGGTTAAGTCGATAGGAGACGGACAAGGCACAACAAGGTTGGGGGGAGGGGAGGCAATTTGTGAATTGAAGGAATCGGGATGCAAAATACGTCTATCTGATAACCAAGGGATATGTTCGGTTCACCTTGAACATTCAGTAAATTAAAAAATCAAATGTATGAACAATATGGAGGTTAACACTAAGAGGGGAAACTAAAATAAAATAATATTATTTCACTATCAACATCACAAGGATATAGGTTACCTGCTTGACGACTGCGGGATAGTCTCAAAGTGTTATTCTTAAAATGTATATGAAAGCTTCTCTAAAACATTGCTGATGCACAGGAATAATAAATATTTGAAAATAAAAAAGAAATTTAAATTACGTCAGCTCTGTATCCCGCGCGGCCTTGGAACGGGTCGAATTTTAGGCCGTGAGATTTTTTGCTCGCCAGTTGGCCGTCAGAATTGTAAATGACGCTATTGATTTCCTGAGTATACAACAGCGCTTCGGTTTGGAAAAGCATTGGTTGTCTATATTAGCATTAATAAAAATTAAATATTTTATATTATTTTGGTTATATTTCTTTCTTAAATACTAACTAAATCTCATTTTTTTAAATAAGAAGGTAAACAAGAAAATGTTTTTAGTAAATATCTGCTTTGACATCTCTAAATATTAGTATACAGCATATATCTATATTTGATAATTTTTTTTGTTATTTATTCTCTTCCCGTTCGACTTTTGTCTTTCGGGGGTTTTGACGGGAACAATGTTACATACAATGATTTTACTTGGTCATTCTCAGGTAAATGCGGGTCTCGGAATAACCCTTCACTATATTTTTAAAATTTCATATTTGGATATCTTCACTAAGGGATCTTTGCATTTGTGGTTTAGAGGAGGGAGAATGTTTGTGGGAAAAGGGGGCAAATAAATTTATGAATTAGGGTGGGCGAAAGAGATCTTAGGGGAATCTGGATCTAATGCGTGATGGATAATGTCGTTTTGGCCGAGACTGAATATTGGAGTGTTGGGGCATGCTGGGAGGAAAGAATAATATTTTTCGGAGGTTTGTGAGATGAATTCTGAGAGGAGAGGTATTTGAAGCACTTGGTGGATTTGTGAATTTGAAATGAACCAGGGGGCTTTCAAGGTTGATAAATTTTATGAATTATACAAAAGGATAGAATCTTGGTAATACAATTTGATTCAAATAAAAAATATGAAAATAATTCAATTTACATTAAATCTGCTTTGAATAAAGTATCCGATATATTATGACTTTTTTCACCACAAATTAATTTTTTCTTGTTTTATTACAGCTTTGTTAGTCAACAAGCATGTGAAGAAACTTGTAATCCACCTCAGTGTCTTTGAAGAAGCATTTGCAACCTTTGAAGAGGTCATCAGTGAGAGAAACAATATTCCTTTTCTTCCTTTCCAGGCACAGAGCGTACAGATTTATGTGGTTTATTCTACGAATTTTGTTTATTGGCGAGGAAATAAAAAAAAACTAATTTGTAAATTGTAATTGTAGAGATTGTGAACAATGATTCCCGGGACTTCTTCAAAACAAGGTGTGAAATTTATTGTAATACTAGGAAAATATGCGGTGTTGTCTAGGACTATTTATTATCACATTGTTTAAAGAGAAGAAAACGATCAATTATATTTAAAAAGCATAGTTTTAATTTATATTACTTTATTAAAGTATTTGTTCACATTTTAAAGAAATATGTACTATCGTCCTCTTTCACTAGATTATTCAACACACTTATCAGGCTGTTTCTTAACTGTTTTATTAAACCCATTGTAAATTTCCATACTTTTGGATCGTTTCAAAATTAAAAACAATTCATAGGTAAAATTTGAGAAAAAAAGCCCTACTAATTTTATATAAAATACGTGAATTTACGTACATTTATATTCATACTGATGTTATACTATGTATTGTCACCAACAACTGAAGGGAATAAGTAACAATTGAAAATTACATGCAAGAGGAAACTGCATTCTTCACGGAAAATTTAGGCAAAACCATTGGTTTATGTGTTTTTCATGTGTTAATTTAATTGTATATGAATTGAAACAATGTTTATTATGTAATTCTGCTGCTATCATAATTTAATTTTTACTTCAGTAGGCCAGAGAAGAGAAACACAATGTGGCGTATTAGCAAGAAGTATGAAATGCCATTATACACTGCCAACAAATTATTACAATGATTCGAATGAACAGTGATATCGTTACTGAATACAAAATAAATTTCAAAATATAATATAGAGGATTTACATTGGAATCCCTTTTTAAACCACTGTCGAAACACGTTTGGGCTCTCAAAACACAAACTTTCTACTAACGTTCAGAAATGCACAAACCGTCAACGTTCTGTGTGTAATAATAGCTTATAGCTCTTGACTTTCAAAATAAGATAACACAATTTTTTTGGCGATAATGGTTCAGTACATTCAGTGATTATCGTATTGTAATTCAACACCCTTGCCCCTGTACATATTAGTGTAGTCAGATATAGATGTAGATATAGATCGTACAGATAATATGTATCACAAACGCCAATCTTCTACGCAGTGTTGAAAGACGTTATGAAAAATATTACAAACTTTTGTAATTGGTTTGTGGATCCTTTCTTTTCCTTTTGAAGACCGTTGCATTTATTACACTTTGAAATGCACCGTAATTATTTCTTTCACATTCCGCCAACACTTTCAATTTTTATGTTATGCGTATTTTTATTTATTTTAGTTTCAATACTGGTGTTCATAAATATTAAAGTACACTATGAAAGATAGGAAACTAAAACATACAAATAACACTCTCACATAAAAACAGATAACAAAAATAACAAAAGCGAAAATAAAATATGAATATGCTTTTGTAGCTGAACACAAAAGTAAAGATCCGTATTTAAACTTCTGTGGCAACGTGTTATATCTGTTTTAATTCGGGAAGTCCTAAACATATGAAGGACTTATCAGTTAAAATACCATCTATGGCGAACGAACATAATGCTCTTGGTGTTGAACAATGAAGATAAAAAGGTTATTCTGCCAAGCCCACTCAATGTAGAAGAATCAAGTTTTTAACATAATATTCAGAACACGCTAGTGTTGCCAGTTTACCTTGTTCATAATTTAGCATTTCACTACATTCTCGTTGTATAGTTGGAGCATTAACTTGCATTCATTCAGATCTTTAGGAGTCTAACCCAAAACTTCCAACTTTTATTCGTAAAATAATCTTGAATTACCATAAACTTTAAAACACAACTTTCAGGAATATTTAAAAATCTGTGCGAAAACAACTCTTGTAGGACAGGATAAGAGCTTAAAGAGACGAGCTTCTGGTCGTTCCTTATTCGCAGAATAAATTACGAACTTTTCCTACATACTTATTTGACCTTCTCTTTAAAACTTCTGTGGGTGCTCCAAGAAGGTAAGATTCTTTCCTTTTCAAGACCCTTCCATTCTTTTATTTAAAACCGGCTATGAAAGCATGCAACAAATAGAAAGTAATACTGAAAGTAATGCTTTTTTCTTTCTTGAGGTCTGATTCTTCGGAAACATTTGCCACCGTCGACTTCAAATATCTTTTTCGCCATTTTCTTCATTCTTCAGTGTCAAACTTGGGGTTAAGCACATTGTAATTTTAATTCATCTCATTTCTACATCATTCTATTCTTCCACTTTTCAAAATATGTTACTCCCGGCAATTATCATATCACTCTATTTCAATTTTCGGCATTGGCAGTTTTCAGCTGTTCTTACATTTCTTTTTTACTTCAGCAATCTATGTAGGCAATTTTGTAGTTCTAGTTACATCGAAAACCATCATAAACATTGGTGTTACGCCTTGTTAGATAAATTTACATTTCTCGTCATAGGAGGTGGTAATGCTGGTCATTTAAAGATGGGCAGGTTTTCTAACAATGACCAAATTTGCATCGAGTCTCTGCATGACCAGATACTTCTACGGTCGGACTATGATCTGAATTAAGATAGGTAAATATTTTTATTATTAATTAATGGCACTATTGATTATCATATATTTTGCTTAATATTGTATTCTCTATTTCGCGGTGATTACAAACGTTTGCTTACTCTGCTAAGCCTGGTTACATCACAGATATAAAATAGTGGCATCTTACGTACCGTTTCAGTAAACGACAATTATTCTGAGTCCGAAACAATTCATAGAATGGCGATGTTCTTTAAAAACAATACAATATATACATAATATATACATGTAGACCCATCTAATCATGTTTTTATTTCTTTGTTTAAAAATATGCCTAACAATTTTTTTTAAAAGAATTATAAAAAGAAAGCGCGTTATCTTTAAAATACTGTCTGGAAATTTAAAATTAAATGTTTGTCTCACTATTGATTATTGAATAATGAGTTACTCGTGCCCTGCGACGAAATCATGTGGATTCTCATTGCACAGCTTGACATGAATGCAGCAATGACTTGAATGCACTTTTTGCATATTTTGTATTGTTTTTTGCGTATTAATTTCAACTGTATCGCTAGCAGCGTGCAGGCTAAGATCTATCTGCAACCGTAACTGTCCTCGACCGGAGTCAATAGATTAATGGCTGAGATGCCATTTAAATGCACAGGAGATGCCGTTTAGAATTCCGCATAATGACCCCTTCATTAAAGTCGTGGTTACCGCAGAATGTTTTGGAAATCCATATTAGATAGGTATTAGTATGGTTTTTACTTTTTCCAATAATAAAAAATACAGTAAATTTACTTAATGGGGGAAATTAAATATTTAATTACTATTTGTTCGGGGCCGATGATTCTTTAGTATACACCATGGATTTGAACAAGGTAACTTAATGAAAATATTAAGTTAAAACGCTTTTAATTTCAAATTAGAAGAGAACATTTATTTATAATAATCGTAAAAAACCTTACACAATATTGTTTTTTAAAATGAAATAATAATGAAACATTTAGTTAACTTCAGAATTAATGATACCTGTGCATGTCTTCTTCACCTTTCAGATAACATAAGTGCTTCCTTTAGGTTCCATTCCATATAGACAGTTCAGTATATCCTCTCTACCAAATACTGTAGTCCGTTTAATTTTTAACAGTAATGTCCTGAATGAATACACAACAATAGGATATTGCATCATTTACATGAAATACTCCTCCGATCTACACCATTCTGATCAAAGTGGTCTTCTAAACTTTACGTCCTCAGTTCGATTTCTTCCTGGGGCTTTTTCCAGCTTCAGGGGATGGCGATCCCGGGCAGGGCTCGGCGGGTTCCCACTGAGTCCCTCGTTGGGACACATTAACCTTTTATATTAGACACACATGCGGTCTCTCGGTTTGTGCTCAGCAGGTCAGGTTTGTCCACAACAATGCACTTACACAATATGAAACCATGCCTACGGCGGGATTCGAACCCAGCCTCCTCGACGATCTCGTCCATCCAGGTCTGCAGTCTTCTCAAGTCGGCAGTCTCCATGACATCAAACATTGTCTACCTCTCATTTTCTAATCTAGTACGCCGTTGTATGGTCTTGGCCTCAAATATGGAAAATGAATAACACGTAATCACCATTCACTTCAGTATCGTCTTGTGGTAATTTGTTGTGGAAGATTACTTATTTTTTTAATTCAAGATTCATTCATCAGTCCATCATCAGTAAGACAGTCTTATTGAAAGCGTTTGCCATCATTTAGCGTTTATGAAACACGGTCATCATTATTTTGCCTTAAGGGAGGTCGCAGTATGACGACCGA